AAAAACCCATCAGTAAGTGCAATCATGTATCACAGTCATGTTGGTATCATATCTCTTTGGCCTGGGACTGTTTTTGCCTTTGGTCATATAGTTTAGATGACTCAACTATGACTGACAAGTATGAAATCCACCATCTAGATCAAACCCTTGGATTGTTTCTCCCTGCATCATCATTTTTAATCTCACAGTTCAAAAACAATGAAAGATTTTTTTGGCTGTTTGCTCCAGTTTGTCTATGAATACTCAGTTATTTTAATTGTTTTAATTTCTTGGATTTTTTTTTCATAAATATTCCCAGACTTCCTTAAAACACATATGCTAAATATCCATTGTGCCACCATGTATGCCACCAGGTATTTCAAAAAGTTCATAAAAATATTCATATTATCTTTCAAATATATTTTTCCACAAATTTTTTGAAGTACTCCTGGATGCTAATCCCTTTGGATGTAATTGTACTCTATATACACACAATTCTTACTGTGGTGTTATTTTACTTACATATAACAAAGATAAAAATAATGACATATTATGTTTTTCTTATAAAAACTTCCACTGATGTTACAGTAAAAAATCAACACGCTATTAGGCTTTTGAATGAATAAATGATTGAAGTATTATAAGTTTCTGAAGCTTTTATAAAATTGAGAAAATTCAAATTATGCATGTGTGAGTATTAAGTATCAGGGTCTGGTTTTGCCAAATATTTTTATTTCATCTATATCACAGCATCTTTGTTATTTATGAAAAAGAAATAGCAAAGTAAATAATTTTCCAAATAAAGTAAGAATTAGCAATCAAATTGCTGGGTGGAGTGATTTTAAAAATCCCAAAATGTATAACACAGTTCATGAGCAGGTGAAATACTAGAGGCTCATAAATACTTGCTAAAGTGCAAATTGATATTTCTTATATTATCATTTGGGAAAGCATCCCAGCCAGCCATCAGCTGAAGTTGGCCTCCATGTAAGTCACCTTTTTAGTGTTATTGGTCAGTGGGTTTGTTGCTGTTCCCGTGACATTATTTAGGGCAGAAGGGACAGTGATGGCAGCAGAGGCTCCTAGCCACAAGGGACAGAAGCATTTTGCCTCTGCAGCGCACACAGCACTGCCATGAAGGCTATCTCTTAACCACCGTTGCGGTTGGCACTTTCTCCTTCAGATTCATGCGTCTGCCTCTGTGCTGAGGCCTGTCCAGCTAGAGATAGTTACGTGGAGTCCTGTACAAGTGAAAGAAGCACTAACCAGGAAGGGAGGCTTCAGCCAAGGAAATCAGAATTCTTGTGTCTCTCACTAACTAATCGACTGGCCCTCAGTGCTGTGTATCTCACCCATTTGTGATCCCCTTGCAAAACTGTGTGTCGTGTGCCATTTTGTGAGAACACAGTGCTCATTATATTATTCTTAAATACTAGAGAAAAAAAGTACATTCGAAATCCATTTACTCTTTTTACTTTTAAGAGATGTTTATTATATTTAAATTATCATAAATGGTTTCCCACTGTTCAAGGAAGACAGATATTAAATGATTATATAGAGAATACTGTTAATTTTATTTAATATCAATCTATGTTCAGTAGAGGCTGGACAGCAAAACATTTAGGTTCGATCACAGTTGATTATTTCTACAAAGTTTTATTAAAATGAAAGTAAAAAAAACCTGGAGGTGGCTGGTTAACTCAGTTGGTTAGAGCACGGCCTTGTAACACCGAGGTCAATGGTTCAGTTCCTCATGCCCAGCTGCCCCCCAAAAAACAAAAAAAGAACCTAAATATAGAAGTTAATTTTAAAATATTAACATGCTAAAGATTTGTTTTGATTTGTTTAAATAAACAGGACAGGAACA